AATTTTTGTGTGTTTTGTTGAAAGAGGATCTTCTCCCAGTATTTTCAGCTCTGCTGTTTACAAAATGTCCATAAATCCCCAGATTATTTAAATATTCAATTAGTGTTTTCTCAGTTTAGGAAGATTTAATCAAGGTATTGCTGGTGTGCATGTGATCCGTCTATGTTCTTGTTCTTTCTCCTTGTTACTCCAGGACAGCACACATCCCGCATAAATACATCTGGCTGTGCGTGTGTGTGAATTTGTGCCTGTGTGCAGGTTGTTCTCTGTTAAACACAGCTGTGCATTGATACATTGGTTCAACCTCAAGCTGTTGATCAGGCTGGTAGAATCGGACTTTTTATCCCGGAGGGCTGTTTCGGTTCTGTGTGTGTTCTTGTCACGTGGATGAGTGTGTGATTAAGTGAGGATGAGTTTGAGGGTGCTTTCAGCTATATTTTCCTATTTTTGCTGCTTAGATGTTCTCCCATCAAGGAACATCAGACGTCAGAAGTCCCTCGCTCTCAGATGTCTACCTAATGTCCTGAGGTCAAGCCCATTCAAGTGCCTGGATCTTAGATTTGGGACCCAGGAGGAGCTTGTTACCTAAGCCTTGATTGAATTTGTCTTGGAGAGCTGCTAGTTCTGTCAAGCTGGCGCCACCCACTGTACTCTCCTCATCCCTGCCCTATGTTATTTCCACGGCTTGATTGATAATATGAAAACTGCATAAGTAGTCTGTCTGCAGAACACCTTAGTATTTTTAGTTCACTCCATCACCCAGTGGAGAATTGTAAATCATGTTGGACCATTGTGGGGGAGCTTGCAGACCCATTGAAATGGCCTAAAAATGGTGATGGTGGAGGATGCTTGGCATGTTTCCCACAGGGTCATAAGTTTTGGGGGGTTTCAAATTAACTATATGTGTAAAGTGTGGATTTTTCAGTTTACAGCAGCCTGTGCAGTGTCACACATTTTAGGCAAATTGCAAAATAGCCGCCTTTAATCAGGTACAGCTGCATGCACAGAATAAATAAATCTGTTTAGTATGCTTGTATGCATGCAGTGTATGTTTTTGTCTTTATTTGTATGCCACACATTGCATTTTCATCTCTGCTCCTCACACAAGCAGTGAATGCACCACATTGACTTTTTGAGAACCCTTTCATCAAAATAATCACTACTGTGAATTTTGATTGATCGGTTATCCTGTAATCACTCCTCCTGTTCCCCTGTAATCCTCATTAAAGTTTCCTTTATGCTGTTCACATGGATCTTGAGGAAAAAGAGTGATGTGTGATTACGCAGTATTCAGTTTCAGAGTTTCACATGGGCCCACACCTGAGCCACCTCTTGGTTGGAATCTAAGGAAGGTCATTGCCTTCTGTCATAATATGTGTCTTGGCTTACAGTAATACAATTTCCTCTTTGTAAGAGCAAAGAGCACACACTCTATCTCTTTCTAACCAGTTTCTCTATTTTACTATCAGACTTTATACTTTTTTTTTAATCACTATTTTTGATTTTCAGTAAAGCCTAAGCAGTTTTGTTGAGGGTACTTGAATGGTTACATTATGTGCTGCTCCTTCTTTTTGACATTACTGTCTGGAAGAGTCTCTTTTTTTAGAACTTTGTGTTCTTTTTAAGTTTAACTTATTTACTGAGGCTACATTGAAATTCTGATTTAATAATATTAACTATGTAGAGGGAAATAAAATGCTAAACAAAGGCTTGCTCATATAAAGAGCAAACCTCCTCATTGTAAAACACCTTGTAGCAGCTCAGAAGTAGTTTAATGACCACCTGTCTGTAACTTCCTGGGCAAAGTCAGCCAGTCAGTCATTTCCATTATGCCTGCTGGCACATAGGGCAGCAACAACCTCTGTGGAAATTTGCACTAAAACTAGTTCTCTGTAGGAAATACCACATACCTGGTAACAGGAGATGAAATGTAGGGGAAGCTTGTACACAACTGTCAGTCTGTAATCCAATCTGGAAGACGTTAGGTTAAGGCAGAGGACATATTTACCATTATAATATTCTACTCATACGCTTATTTCTACTAGTTCCTCCTCTAGGTTGTGGATAGAACCTCTGCAGTGGACAGATTTAGATTTAGCCAGAGCCAGGATGCCATTATGTGCTCCTACTAGTTTCCTCCTCCTGACAGCAACATGCTCCCTTGTTCTGTTTTTCATCTACTGTATTTTACTGAAGTTATTGTCATAAATATTGTTTAGTAATCTTGTTTACATAAAGAGTAGCGTGGGTTGTGTGGGTGATGCTGGTGTATCGGGGATCCATCCATGGTTAAAAATGTTGATGTGCAATGTTTTTACTGAATGCTCCTAAATTTCTTTGTGTGCTCTTAAATTTTTTTTAATTGAGGAGCAGAGGTACTCCTTGGGAAAAGGTTTAGCGTAGAGCCCTGCTTGTATAAACTTTGGCTAATCTTTAGAGTGCAAATATATAAGAAATTGTAGTGCCCACCGTTGCACAAGCTCCAGGTGCAGTTTTATATTAGTCTGTTAGTCTGCAACACAGCCACCTCTTCAGTTCTACGGCAGCTGTTAAGGCTTATGTTCAGTCAGTGTTGCCTGATTGAACACCTGTGCCACCATACTATTTGAATGAAAAAGAGATGTGTGCAGTTATAATATGTCTCATTAATGCATTACGTCGTCTTGTCATCTCTGCATTAACAAACGTGTTAGCTGCCAGCCTAAGTCTTACCATTGTTCTCTCTCTTGTTATTGTTAAGGTTCGGGCTCGCTTTGTCCTACAGAGCAGACTGTAATGTAATCAACTTTTGGATGTAACCATAGTCTGAGTCACTGAAGTGCTTAAATGGTTGGGCTTTAATTACGCAGCAGTGTTCCTTTCATGGCCTGGAGATAGAGAGGAAGGAGGGATGAAAGGGACATTAAGGAAGAGGGTGCTGGCAGCTGCAAAGAAAAGACAGAGGACGTGGGGTGCAGAGGAACATGGAGACTAAAGACTGAAGATGTTCTTTGGTCAATTATTCTAAAGATCCAAAGGAAGCCACTAAGTCCCCTTGGGGTTATCGCTGAAGTACATTTTCATCAACAATCTTTGATTACACTTGGCCATGAAGCTTAACTCCCTATCAGTGCCACAGGTTGCTCAGCGACTAAACACTCTACTGTGAACATACCTTGAAAAAGACTATCCGTGCTCAGCATTTCCTGTAGATCTTAAAAACCAATAAGAATGCCATTTGAAAAGTTCTTCAGTTTCTAAAGCCCCACCTTTCAACACCAACAATACATTTCTCATTTTCTCATCATATAAAGTTGGTTTGCTCTGACCTTCATTCATTTCCTTCTCTTTTTCTATCTTTCCTCTCCGGAACATAGAAAAAGTGTTGCCATGGAAACATTTGCCGTGTTTTACAGTCATCTATGCACTACTTTTGAGATTGTCAGTCAGTCTATTAACAACTCTTTTACACTTTTCATGATGAATAAATGGCAGTTAAATATTTCCTATTTTAAGTGTGAAGCGCATCTCAGAGAATGCAACTGTGACCACTTTGTTAAGGTCTTTTGCTGTCAGCCCCTGTGGAATATGCATAGTACATCTCGGAGAAAGCTATACAGCAAACATCTTTCACGAGGTCCAGCAAGACGATACAGGTGCCTGGCATTCCTGTCTTAGGAATGTAAACAGATAAGAACAGTATGAACAGACAATTTCCCCTGAGCAGATATGAACCCACTGGATCGTTTCACCCGATTTACCACAGATGTCACAGCAGACAGTGGAAGGATCTCTAACATCCATCAAGGATAAACGTAATATCTAATTGTGATATTTTGACTGATATTGCAATTGCGATATGATTTGGGATAGTAGGAATTAGGGTAGGATTTTTACAAACATCTGTATCAGTGGCCTAAGTACCAACGGTGCAACTGGCGCAATGCATTGACTTACTGTGTCAGCTACTTTGCGTATGCGTTTGGCACTTCGGCTGCTGTCCGTGATGCTGATCAAAGGCTCTCGGTTTGCAATTGCGTGGAATTGTTGTGTGTTTGTACGCCTGTGTCTACACAAATGAACTGCTGCTGCTGCTGACAAAATTTTATTTAAAATAGTATTTTGCCACATGTATGATCAAAATAAATTCATTTAGAAATCACAAGAAAAAAACGCTCCTTATAAGTTCAGATCTTCAGACTCTAGATGATTGTTGTCTGTGTGTGAATGGAAATGCTAGTAGCCAAAGCAGCACGATTGTCCATGATGCATGACATATAGGCTAAAATCACAGAGGTGTAGATGGTTCAATATTCAGAAATTCAATGAGGTTCATTTTCAATAATCTTTTATCAGTTTTAACGATATTTGCTGTGCAGCACAGAATGAAGCTTGACTGATATAGAATAGGTGTTATTTTTACCTTATAATCCGATATTGAGGCCTGGCACCTTGCGTGTTTTGAAACTGAAGAGCTGGAGTTACGAACCGTCTCAATAGTGTATGCAAAATGCCAGTATCAATCTGAATACTAAATGGTTCAGCACATGTCAATGACTACATGATTCCACTTCTGACGTCACTTTGCTTTCCAAATATTCAAATCCAATCACTTGCGCTTTCAGATTAGATTTCACAAGAAAGGAAAGAAATACAAGTACATTTCTCAAAATAAACATGTTAAACATCAAGCAAAAAATCATGCAGACGCCTTGCAATCAAGCAATCTCGACAAGGCCATTATACAAGGGTCATGGGTGAAAACATGTTGCATCCACTAGGATAGACTCAGTCAGTTTGTAAACCCCCAAATGGATTCTGAGCGGTCTAGTTTGGGGTCAGAAAGTAAGATATTTCCACTAGGAAGTCTCTCATTATGTTTCTCCATCCTTCTAATTATCTCTTTTGCTAATCAGTGCTCACACTGACAACAGAGCGATGCTTAAAATGACAAAGACGTTAATACACCAACCACTACATTAAACATTCAAAGAACTTTTCTATAAAAGCTGAAGCGAGGGATGGTGGAGGTGATTAAAGTCTTTGGTGGCAAGAAAAAGCTATTACTGTTGAGATTTCATTAGATGTTGGAATACATTGTTTGACATTTTCAAATAGCAGGGAAGAAACAGAAATGAATCCCTGAATCACATACTCCTCTGCCATTATGAAGGGGAAAGAAATGAGCATCTGAAAAATCAAAACCATCTCTGGGCCAAAGTTTCTAATTAATAGGCACTTTTAGTCATGTATCAAAATAACCATTTTTTGGAGGGAAGTGAAAGTAAGCAGTAACATAAGCAATAAGAAACAAAGCCCACTGTCTCTTTACTGATTTTGGATGCCTTTTTAAGGAAGAATAGAGACAACTACAAAATACTTTAAAGCTGCTATGATTAAAAAAATACATATTAACAGTGGATCAAATGACTATGTGTATGTGAAAGGTGTCTTTCATAGTAATTAACTCAAAGATAATTATCACCGCAGTTTGCCGTTTACCTCGGCTTTATGTAGCGTTTTAGTGCCCTTCAGCTCATTGTTTTGGTTTTACATCTCTCAACATTACTATTTCGGTTGACTCTCACCATTCTCATTAGCGTAATTTCCAGTAGCAACAGGCAGCTATATTTGAAGTAACAAAATCACCGTTACAAACTGTGCCACAATTAGGGCTCATTTTAGGCTGTTATCCAATGAGCAGTGTTTTTCAATCCATCCATAACCTGACATACTTTTTGTCAATGCAGTTTGTTTCCAGCCATTGTTTTCCGGACAAGGCATGTTAAATATAACTAACCTCCCACAATTTGGGAAACACCATCATCTCATGTCCTCTGCTGTCTGTCATTTGTCAGGTGGCGAGATGGGAGCATCGTACAAGGAGACTGTCCCGGCTTTTTGGTAGCCCCTACCTGGCCTGTTACTGCCTGGGCTTCATCATCATTCTGCTCAACGTGTACCGCAGCCACAGGTGACGCCCACAATGTTCTCCTCATTCTGCTCAACTCGACTCATTTCTACCCTCTTCATTTCCATTTGCTCAATTATTATGCAATGATAGAGTGAACAACGGCCCAGCAAGTAATGTAACTAATGTTAGGTAGGTTGTGGATAAGCAAATTGCTGCTGCAAAGCTAACATGAGAGGACCAGATGGTCCCAGAGTCAGCACAGCAGCTCCAAACAGCAACATTCACAACATTACAGCTATCATCACAACAGCAGCCTGTCTTGGTGAACTGTAAAGTAAGCTGTAACCGTGGGCAAGTCATTTAACATTACCTGAATGACACACACATCACGGCTGACACTGCTGGATAGTGTTGTGTGGCTTGTCCATTATTTTCAATGCAAATTTCTTCCCTGCAACACCGGCACGTGTGGAAGAACGGACTGCGGTGAAGTTAGCTTCAAGTGGATGTAAGTAGATGTAGATGTCAAATTCCAACTTCAAACTAACATCACTACAGTGCATAGCGTCGTTCTCTCATACACATAAATATTACGGTGAAGTGTGGAATTTGTGACACAACGATTTAAACGATAGAGCAGAATTGTAAACAATAGACGTTTTTCTATCGTCAAACAATGGATATCCACATATCACACAGCCCTAGACGCATGAGTCATTTTGGGCTAGCATCAACGCATCATTATGTAACTAACTTTTGTTTCATTGGTAGCCTAAAGGTGTGCTTTGTGAAGCAGTATTAAGGTTCACATTTTTTGTGTTAAATTTGTCTGCTGATTTTTGCAGTCATTACCGACTGTACACTCTGCTGTAGCTAGCCAGCACCGCACATCAACCGTGTGTATTACCAAGAACTCCACTTTTCTTAAAGCTACAAGATAAGTGTTGCAGTTTACTCTGTATAGAGCGAATTTGCGTCTTTCTGTTGAAAAATAGCTTTATGTTCAGTCTAAACACATCTGTAGTCTTGCAGCCAAGATGTAAGTGTTAGTAACACATTACAGTTATGTGATTACTTTTTTCAGTAACAAGCAGTGTAAAGTATTACAATTAGAGATTCTGCCACTTACTAATCCCAGCAACATTTTAGGGGTTGGCTTGTTTACTGGAAGTCTGGTGGAGGGTTGATATCAATTTCATCACTCTGTAGTGGACAGAACCTTCCACCCCATTTCTTTTGACGTTCTCCATAAACTATACCTCTTTTTCTTTCGTCCCCTCCGTGTCCTCTTTTCTTCCCTTTCACTGCTGCTCTTGCCTTTCTTCCTCCCATTCTAATCTGTGCCCACGGCTCTGTATGCGCCAGTGTGACCCCACGTCTGCCATCCCAGTGGAAGTACACACTCCCACAGCTCCACTGTGGATCAAAAGGTGACAAACCCCCTAACAAAACCACACAAATACAGTATGCCAATGCGAGAAGATTTTTTTCCCTCTCAAAGCATGTCTGTGATGTCTGTTGCCAGGCAACAATACTTTTAGCACAAGCTGCATTAAAATGATAAACTGTCTTGCCAGTTTCTCTTGTGCTTCTGAAGAGAATGTTTCTCAACACACAGTCTTGAGAAACTAAAAATAGTAGTGTACGTAACAATGTCTTTATTCAGATATGTAAGCAATGGAAGATTGAATGAGGTTAATAATAGCCAGAATGCTCAACTCTTCACCTGGACTTCCATATGAAAGTAACTCTTTGAAATAACCTTTAAAGAATTTGGAATGCTTTTAGCCTGTAATGACTATTCTTGCTCCACCCCACTCTGAAATCAATCTGCTTTCCTTCAATATCAAATTAAATTTAAGAGAATACTTAAATCACCTTCAGATCTCGATTAATGAAATTGTTCAAAATCTGTACACTGTATATTGTTGAGGTCAAAATGATGTGACAAGGATCAGAGAAAACCAAAATCACCAACTGATTGAGGGTATTGTCCTGCACCATGGTTTCATCCCGGCAACAGCAATCAGGGTACTGCTGTCTAGCACTGGAGGTCTGTGCGACACTTCAAGAATATGTCTCCCGGACCATCACTGACCCACTGCCAAACCAGTCATGCTGGATGATGTACAGGCAGCATAAAGTTCACCACGGCCTCTCAGACTCTTTCACATCTGTCACATGTGCTCAGTGTGAACTTGCTCTCATCTGTGAAAAGAACTGGGCACCAATGGCAGACCTGCTAATTCTGGTGTTCTCTGACAAATGCCGGTCATGCTTTACTGTGCTGGCTGTGTCCCACTAGAGGACTTTGGGCCCTCATGCCACCCTCATGGACAGTTTGGTCAGAAACATGCACACCAGTAGGGTTGATGCCCTAGTACGGCCCTGTCCAGCTCTCCTTGTGTATTGGCCCCTCTAATGGTATCTCCTCAATGCTCTTGAGACTGTGCTGGGAGAGCACACTTTATTGTGACTGCGCGAATGAATCACTGAGGAGTTGGACTACCTGTGCAACCTGAATGGGCTGCAGGTAGGGCCTCTTGCCACCAGTCGGGACAAGGACACTCAAGAAGGTCCACTGCAGACCTCCACTGTCAGGCCACTTCCGCACACACACTTCTCATTCATAATTTACCTTTGAAGAGTAATATACATATAATAATATACACATATACTATACAATCAGCTGAATTTAATAGGAAAAACAGACAACTGTGGAAACTGGACTACAATCTGAGCTTCATGGGAGTCTATTATAACGGACGTTGTCGGCGGGATTAATAAATAAATAATAAAGCCTGGACAGAGACTGCATTGCTCACTACGTGATCAACACTTTCTCTCACACAGAGCAGCCCACTACTTGCCCCAGATGTGTGTGATGCTGCAACAAAGTTTAAGTTTTAAAATCCTGAAATAAACCAACAAAGACTACTGCTCAAGGAGAGACCGCAAATCAAAAATTTTAATCATGTCTTAATGACATTCATGCGGTGCGCAGCATAGTTTGTTTGGAAATAGTGTGTTTATCTTATAATATAATGTACATTGTGATTAAAATTAATGGTTGTTGGTAAATGAATTACTGACGCCAAAAGATGCATGATTAAGAGCTCAGACCGTAACTAGAACCCTGCTGGACTATGTGGACTATCAAACTGTACAATCCGTAAAAATGAACACACATGCAATACAACATACCTGCATTGATAATTTTGTAAATATCCACTTTTTAAAAATGAATGGAGACAATAGCCTACTGTAATAATACTCACACACAGATTACACAGTTAGAAAAGGAGTTGGCAGCAGTGACTGATTTGCATTATCAAAAACATTTTTAAAAAGTCTGAATGCATGGGTCTTGCCATGTTCCATCAAAATATCTACCACTATCATATTTGTACATCTAAATCACGCAAATTAGGATATGCCAACAGTGGCTGTGGTGAGGAGGAGTTTCTTTATGTGATAACTGTTTAAATAACCGTGTGTGTAAATATCTCACTGCTCCAAAACAGCTGATTCAACTAGCAACTCATTATGAATCCTGAATCAGCTGTGTTGAAGCAAGAGAGAGATTAAATCATGCAGGACATGGGGTACTTTCTTCAGGAAAGGGTTGGGAAACACTGTCGTAGTACATAAACTTCAATTCAACTAAGATCAATTCGTACGGCCAGCAAAGTCTTTGCACACTGTTTAACGTTAAGTGTGAAAGCTACACCGAACGATCTAAAGTTTTTACATTTTTATTTATCTTCTTGGACAAATAACTAACCTGAGCGTCGTAAGACAAATGCAAACCTATGCCCTTGCAAAATGCTTTACAAAAACAAACACACAGTAGCTTCATACAGTAGAATAGCTTTTGTTATCCAAAGGGAAAAAAGCTAACGTTGGTAGCCTAATGTTACCTATGTTGAACGACAAAAACCTAACTTACACATGTGTAACGTTCTGTATTTGTGTGATTAGATTTACAACATTGACAGCGGTAGCTATTGACGGCGAATATACACCAAGAGCAATGCATTCAGACTTTACTCAATGTTTTGTATAATGCAAACCAGTCACCTACCGCTGTCGCAATGGTAGAGTAGCAAAACAACTGAGA